AACCCATTTTATACCAGAGACATCTAAGTAGGCCCTGGTGGCATTACAAGAAGCATATTGGGAGACATGAGCAAAAAGAAAAATAAGAATTAGATAAGCTTGACTTTTAAGGTTAAACTTCATTTTTAGGACACAGCTGAATTTCCCAGACAAGGCTCTATACAGCTTCTCTGTCATTCTTGTAACGTGAATCTCTAAGTGATATACCAGGAATAATGTGGAAGATGGAGGTGGTATTATAACATAAACTGGGGATTAGGTGAACAGCTGGGCTGAGGTTCTCTCTCTACCTATACACCCAGTTCTCTTCCCTAACTTGGCTTCAGAAAAATGGCTGCCAGGTCCATACTGTCCAGACAAGGGACTGGGAGATTTATTGGTGGCTCCCCAAATAAAGGCCTATTGAGAGCACCTTCAAAGAAGCTACTGCCAAGACACCCCAGTCATATGTACCTGGGAGAGCCTTGCAGGAGAATTGATATCTCTGACTCTACTAGGCTTCAAGTTAGCCTGTGCCTGGACCATTCCCATGACTCTTAGATAGAGACAGACACAAAAGGGCCACCTGACTCACCGCCACAGATTCATTTTAAAATGAAAGGACTCTAAACGGAAAATCAACTTGCAAGAATAAATTACATCAAAAGGGTTATAATTGGCAAAATCTAGATTACGGGAAGCTCAATAGGACAAATTAGTCCTGTCTTCAACAAATCAATCACACTGGGGGTTGGGGAGGAGGAGAAGAATGAAAGACCCTATAGGTTAAATGAAATTTAAAAAAGCACCCAATTCTACTGCATATATTTATTTAGGTATTGATTTGAATAACTCAATGGTTTGAAAATAGCCTTAAAATCAGAGCAGACTTCATACTGGCTGGATATTTGATGATATTAAGAGTCGTTAAGTTTCTAGGTATTATGGTCATGTTTTAAAGTCTTTATGTTTTAGAGATATGTGTGGAATTATAAATTATGGAATGTTATAATTGGAAGATAATCTGGGAGGTGAATTGATTAAACAAATTTAGCCATGATAGGAAGGAAGCATAGGAAACTTTTACACTTATATCTCTACTTTTATACGTCTTTGGAATTTTCCATACTGAAAAAACCTACCATTATAACCTTCAGAGAAGACATTGAAAGAAAACTAACAAAATAGTATAAAAAAAAAAAAATGAGCACTGCAAGAATTATCAAAGGCTCCCAGAAAGAAAACAAAACAAAACAGAAACAACCAGAAATAAAACATCTAATGAAGAGTTAGGGGGGAAATGAAAACCAATTATATAGAAAGTAAAGTGAAATGAAAAAAGAAATGATTAGAGGATTAGTCCAAAAGGTCTGAAGTCCACATAACAAACTAAGAGAGAAATGAGAAACCGAGGAATTAATTCACTCTAAGAAAACTTCATAGAACTGAAGTTCTAAAATTTCTGAATTAAAAGAATTCACCTGCACACCCATGATTATCGCAGCTTTGTTCACAATAGCGAGGAGTTGGAAGCAACCTAAGTGCCTGTCAGCAAACAAATGGATAGAGAAGCTGTGGTATATTCACACAATGGAATACTATACTACATTGAAAAACAAGGAACTCATGCAATATTATTCAAAATGGGTGACCCTAGAGAACACTATGCTGAGTGAAATATCTCAGTCACAAAGGGACAAATACTGCATAGTGCCACTGTTTAGAATGAGACTGACATCGGGGTTGGGGTAAGACTGAGAAAAACTGGATAAATTATATATACTACATTGAAACAGATGAGGGAAAGAACAGATTATAAGCGATATATGATTGGTATTATGGTTATCACAGGAGTCCAGAATGAAGGTTGCATAGTGGAGTGTACTTGCGGGGCTGGGGGTGTGAGGTGGGGTGGGAGCTGGGGCGGGGATTATATACCAATGAAGGAATTTTTCTTTTTTCTTTTCAAAGAGAGGAGCGAACTGGCGGGGAGGGGTATGCAGGAAGAAAGGTGCAACAATGATTGAATGGAAATACAGAATCTCTGTAAATGTTCATTAATATTAATTTAAAAAAAAGATTCACCAAATACCTAACAGAGAGGATAAAAACAAGCTCTCATCAAAGCACATTTAATTATTAAATTTCAAAGTATTTGGAACAAAGAGGCCTGTCAAATTTCCAGAAAACAAACAAACAAACAAGGCTGTCCATAAAAGATGAAGAATCAGAAGGGGGCCACTTCCTATATTTTCAATGGGAAAACTGAAACATCAGGAGGCAATGGTGCAGTCCCTTCAACATTCAGAAGGAAAATAATGTGCAATAGAGTTCTCTATTCCAGCTGAGACTGCCAGTCAAAGGGGAATGAAGGCAGAACAGAAGTATCTTCAGACATACTTCCATTCACTCTTTCTTAACAATGAAAACAGGAAGTATATCCTGAAACGAAAACAAACCAAGGAATGTAGGAAATAAGTGATCTAGTTAAAAAAATGAAGTGAAAGGAGCCTTCAAGATGATAACACAGGGACATTCCAAAATAAAGGTCCACTGTCCAGGCTCAGTTCCCTTATCTCTGAAAGAGGAAATTTATAAAATATCCACTTCATTTAAAAAAAACCAAACCAACAAAAAACCCAAAGAAAACAAAAAATCCCACAACACACTGGCACTGAGTTAGAACAGACTCCTAACTCACCCTCATAACTGACCCTTTTTCATGTTCCCGAGGCTGTAAATAGAATAGGAGGAGATTGTTCACCTTTTCCCCCTCAGAGCTGACACCATTAAAAAAAAACAACAACAAAAACAACCAAACAACCCCAAATTCACTGCCATAAAGTAGTTCTGAGTCGCTGTGAGGCTAAAAATCTTTACAGGAGAGAAATGTCTTAAGCGTAACAGATTTGTTTGCACAGAGTATGAGTTACAAAAGTTGTTACTATCATCGTTAAAGAGTTGACACGTTACGCCAACATATAACTTGATATAATAACAGACAAATTTATGGGTTACATAGTCCTGAACGAAAACTTTGGTTTAGAGAGTTGAATGGGTTCTGAGATTTTCCTTAGTACAATTTCTTTATTTTAAAGCTGAAGACACTGAAACTCAACAAATTAAGAAATTAAGGTTAAGAAACTCAGCTATTTAAAAGAGGAGTTGAGATTACATTCATTGGTCCAATTTGATGCACCAAAAAAATAGCAAACCATGGTGGTTATTCGAAGGGGATTAGACATGTAAAACATCACCAGAAAATATGCAGTCCAATCTTATCCTTTTATCCTAAAACTTGGCACTTGATTGAAGACACAGACAGAAGGGATGTATAAAAAGATTTGCTTAGGACAATAAAGAGAAGAGACAGAAATTGGGTATATTAAGTTAGGATGGCAATCACAGATGAAAACTATTGACATCTATAAGAATGTTTCCACTCTAGGAAGCACATCTTTAGCAGGATTACAGATAAAAATTGCTTTATCATTCCCTTCTCAAAAGCTGAGGCCAGTATGAAGCCGCAGATATGAGACCTAGATGAAAATTCCTGATCACTGAGTCATGGAGGGGGCACCAATACACTTCCAGTCCCATTCCCTGTGTCCTTCTAAAGCAGTGGACACAATTTGTAGGATTAGTAGCTTTCAGGCACTTCTTCGATCACAACGGCAGTGGAGAGGACTGTCGAGGAGAACTTTCACATGCAGACAGAGCAGGAGGCTCCATCTAACGTGGAGAGTCAGCTATGGAAAACAGCACTAACACTACAACTGCATCACTCTCCACACATCTGACATCTATCTGTTAGATGCCTGTATCACATCAGCTCAAAAAAGAAAGTCAAGTTTGGCCATCATTTCTCTTAACACCTTATGGCATTACATAAAAATTATAGCTACACTTCCCTTGTTTTCATTGATGAAAACTCATCCATGATGTGTTCCAATTAATTTTTTCCCCTCATTTTCCCCCCCCTCACACGGTGAGCAAGATGACACAGTCTGCCTTGACTCAGGAAAACAAAACAAACACTCAGGACTGACTCCTAGCTGACCTCCCAGGTTTCCATGGTGGTAAATGTCACAAAAGAAGATTGTCCATCTTTTTCCTTAGAGCCATTGGTGGATTTGAACTGGCAGAGGTGAAGTCCTGGAGTGAACAGCACAACTCTCTCTGGAGTAGCCACCAAAGCTCCCCATGTCTTGATCCATGGAAGCTCATAGATATGAAAGCACTAGGTTTAACTTGCTAAACGGTTTCTCACGTGTCTCTATTAACTGCAATGAGTAACGGAGTAACCCCTCTTCAAGCAGCACCCAGGGTACATGCCTTATCTGTCATACTTTAAATATGTTCTGATTTAATGACAAATTAAAGTTTCCCATTCCTCTGAATTTAGAGTGGAAAATTAGGCTTGGTGAGAATTTTCCTGCTATAAATTCTATCATCTATCTTAACCTTGTTCCAACTAAAAATAAGCCCTCTACATTTACAAAAATTCCCATTCAACAGTCTTGCTTATTTTCTTTTCATTTAATCTCAGAGGAAAATTACATGTTAATTTCTCACTTTGAAAACACAGAAAATGTCTATGCTTCTCGAATATTTGTTCCAAACACATTTGTATATGTTCCGTAGTAACCCCAGTACCAAAATGATGACTGGCTAGGTTCATTATCTCTTAATATTTTTAGCATTTAGCAGGACTTTTGAGTGATAGTGATATTATGATAAGTAAAAAGAGCTTTTATTTTTTAAGAATACTATTTTCAAATGTTTAAATCCTTTTCACAATCTTTATTTCTGTAGTTTTGATTAATAAAATAATTTTATTTCCTTTTTCGCATAACCTCTAAAATGTATTATGTAAAACAAATTCTATAAATGCATATACCAGTATATTAACCAACTTAGTAAAAAAAAAAGAAACTTTAATAATTATTTCCAAGTTCTCCTATAATAGAAATGTACAGAAAACAAGTTTTAAAACAGAGTAATTAAATGTCAACACTTACAAGAAAAGTAGGATCCCTGTGTTTGCCAGGGCAAAGGCGAGTCCCAAAATGCCACTGCCCATAATGGCGTTGCTTAGGTTAAAAACAGACATGCCTAGGGAGGTTGTTCCTGGAATCTAAACAAAGAAACAAACATTCATACTAAGTAAGGTTGTCCCCATGACACTTCAAACCAAAGCATTAAAAGCACTACCCAAGCAAGGTAAAAGTCAAGTTCTTTCCACACTCCGCCCACCCATCCCCCATCTTCCCTAGTAAGTAGAGTTTCAGGAGAAAATACATCAAGAACAGCCTGATGAATGTATGCTGTTACGCTTTGGTCATAAGCCAAATGAATTAAAACCATCTACCCCAGTTTGTGTGATTAAAATATATATAAGTATATTGTAATGACACTTACATATTCATCACATTTCTTTTTTTCCAAATGGCTGTTTGTGAGACTTCTTCTACTTTCACGATCAGAAATAAACTTGCTGTAAAGACATGCATAATACATGTAACTCATGATAATGAACTGAAGCGTTAACATCCTATCATCAAATTTATTACTTACCAAACAGTCTACATACAAAAAGTTAACAATTGGTTCCTAAAGGGTTTCAGCCTGACCCCCACTCTACATTTTAGTCATTAATAAGTAGTCTATATATCTGTTCTCCCAAATAATCTATAAGTGTTCCACAGATACTTTGCCTTGTTCATTTTTATATCACTCACTATCTACACAAAGCAATGCAAATAATTCTAAGGATAGTTGCTCAGCTTGAGATGAAAATAGTAAGTCAAAAAAGGTACACATTTTAAATCATTTTAATGATAAATGAAAATGCTACATATGATGTAAATTAACTTTTAGAATTTTTTAGAAAATTTTTTTTTAATTTCCATTTTTTTCTTAAAAATCTGGAAAAGTAGCTAATTGTAAGAATACTATTGAACTAGCATTTAAAACAATACTGGAGGCAGGGTTCTCTCTGAGCTCACAGTTTTGGAATACACAATTTTTAAATAGGAATTCCTCTATCTCTTACAAAAAAAATAAATGAACTGTTTCACCATCAAACATTCATCTAGTACCTGTTATATATATGCAGTCACTGGGTCAGATGATAGAAGTGGGAGGAAGAGTTACATAATAAGGGATGCAGACTCTGAGACAAAGGAGTTAAAATTAAGAGCTTATGATGGGAGGCAGGGCATACGGGCCACAGTTAGGATCTGTTAAAGCTAAAACTTTTAAGAAAGAATGGGTTTCGAATTTGAGTTCAAACTTCATTAGCTCAGAAAGCCTGAACACACTTCCTCAGTTTCTTCATCTGTGAAGTAGCGGTAACATCGTTGCATTCTCTCTCAGCTTTATTGGGACAAATGAATAAGAAGACATACATAAAGCATCAATACAGCGCCTGGCACAGAGTAAATACAATGAACGTCTGTAAATGCCATCCATAGGGAAGTAGAACTTGAATGAGGGTAAGGAAGATCAGACGAGTAAGGTAAACAATGTGCAAATGTACAGAAATAGGAAATTAAAGGATCTGTTGCTGCTGTTGTTGGGTGCCTTGAATCAGTCCTGACTCACAGTGACATATATGACAGGGTAGAACTGTCCCACAGGGTTTCCTAGTATATATATATAATTATAGGAGCAGATAGCCAAGCCATTGCTCCTGCAGAAAGACTAGTAGGTTTGAACCACCAACTTTTCAGTTAGCAGTCAGGAGCTAATGTTGTGCTCTAAGCCTCCTGCAAAATATTCTAAGGACCAGAAACTATGCTTAATGTTAATATCAGAACGTTAACAGTATATATATGAATATATATATATATATATATCATGAATATATATATGAATGATTGTATGGAACACAATGTAATTGAAAGATTGCATAAAAAATATATGAATATAATGCAAATGAAGTGAATTATTCTGTGAAAACCAATGAAAAATTCTTTAAAGAGAAAAAAATTCCAATTAAAACAACCAGTGCTATTGTAAAGTCCATTCATAGCAAACTGCTTCACAGATTAATTAATTAAACAGGATAGAGATGCTTTTGAACTCCTCTAGGTCTAAATTTGCAGTTATCTGGTCATGATGAAACCAACCAATCACAGCGTGGTTTTCATTAACTCGTGTAAGACCATTTGAACTGGAGGATTTTAAAGATACATATCTTTATAGACATGGAGCTCTAATGGCTTAGCAGGGAGCTCTGATGGCCTAGTGGTAAGAAACTGAGCTGCACTCTCAAAGGGAGGGAGGTAGTTCAAATCCACCAGCTGCTCTGAAGGAGAGAGAGAGATGCAATCTCCTGAAAAATGCCTCTGAAAACCCACCAGATAGTTGGCTATGGGTCAGCTCCAGCTCGATGGTACACAACAAGTGGCTTAGTGATAAGCATTACACTGCTAACCCAAAGTCATATGGTTCAAATCTACCAACAGCTCCATGGGAGAAAAATGTAAAATCTCCTCCTGTGTGAGTGACAGACTCTAAGAGCCTTCTGGAGGGTTAGTTATGAGTTGGTTCCAATCTGACAGTACAAAAGGACAACAGTATATATTGTAAAATGGTACACTATGTTAAATGGTGGAGAATCTGGCAGGAATATTGGGGATGGTTGTAAACCATGGTTGATATCATTGGCTTCACTGAATTATAAACACAAAAAATGCTGAATTGGCAAATGTTAACTATACTTTCACAACAATGAAAAAAACAAAAATAAAACAATTATTAAACAAACATTTTCATCGATGCAGTTACATTTATTTACCTTGACCATATTTAATTAGATATCTGTATTCACCCTGGTATTGTTGTTAGGTGCCATTGAGTGGAGTACAACTCATAGTGACCCTATAAACAAAAGATCTGAACCCTATTCCATCCTGCACCATCCTCACACTTTCTGACACACAAAACCCCATTGCAGCAGTCACCATGTCAATCCACTGAGTTGAGTATCTTCCTCTCCTTCGCCAACCCTCCACCCTTCCTAGAATCATGTCCTTCTCCAAAGAATTGCCTCTCTTAGCAACGTGCCCAAAGTGTGTAAGGTGAAACTTCATCATTCTTGCCTCCAAAAGTACTCCAACTGCACCCTCTCCAAGACATTTCTGTTTGTTCCTTTGGCTATCCGTGGGATATTCAGTGCTCTTCTCCAACACAATAGCTCAAAGGCATCAACTCTTCTTTTGTCATCCTTAGTCACTGTCCAGCTCTCAGATGCATAGCAAGTGATCAGAAAGACTATGGCCTGAATCAGATGCATCTCAGTCTTCAAACTATATCATTACTCCCCAGTAATTTGGAAAGGTCTCTAACAGCAGATTTGCCCAGTGTAATGCAAAGAAAATGAAAATAAGGCCACAGGAACCAAGATATGATCTTGAATTAATTCCATCTGAATTTCAAGATCATCTTAGAAATAGATTTGAGGCATTGAAAAACAATGCTTGAAGACCAGGTAAATTGTGGGATGAAGAAAGCAAAAAGTCATTACAAAAACAGAAGAGAAAGAAAAAAATCTAAAATGAATATCATAAGAGACTCTAAAAATTGCACTGGAGTCTCGAGAAGCCAAAACAAAAGGAAAACATGCAGAAGTAAAAGAGCTGAACAGATTTCAAAGGGAAGCTCAGGAGGACAAAGCAAAGTATTATATTGTAATAAAACGTATTATACAGTAATAAAGTAATATACAGAGAGCTGGAATTCGAGGATAAAAAGGAAAGAATTTGACCTGTCTTTCTCAAACTAAAAAAACAAATTTAAGCCTAGGGTCACAATATTGAAAGATGTTATGGGCACTATATTGAACAACCCAGAAGCCAACAAAAGAAGATGGAAGGAATGCATAGAATCACTGTACCAGAAATAACTGACACTAAAAAATTTCAGGACATACTATATGTACAGGGCCAACAGTAATGAAGGAGGAGGTGGAAGCAGCACTGAAGACATTGGCAAAAAATAAGGCCCAGGAATTGATGGGACACCAATTGATTTGTTTTAATTAAAAGATGCAGCCTTGGATACACTCACCAGTGTGTATACCAGGTTATTTGAAGGATAGCTGTCTGGCCATCAGACTGGAAGAGGAGCAAATTTGTTCCCATTTCCAATAAAAGTGATCTAACTGAATGTAAAAACTATAGAATCCTGGCATTACTTCTCAAAATTTACAGTATTTCTTCAGTATAGTCAAAGATAGGCAGTATATCTACAATAAGTTTTGAGATCGCCACTTTATGTAACAATCTGAAGTTCATTCAATTCAGCATTTCCTTTTGGCTAGGGCTTGTTTCTCACTGTAAATTATGGAAGGAAGTGGAAAAAATATCTTGGTCTTCTTATAAGCAGGGTTGACATTCCATCTGAGGTAAGACCATACCAGCCAATAATAGTTTATGAACATCAAGCTGTGAAAAATGAAGATGAGGACAAAGGGAAAAGGCACATTTTGGGCACAGGGAGGCATTAGTCAGAGGAGATATAGGAGTAGAGGTCTGAGAAACAGGGTTTCCGGTTCTTAGCATGAGAATAACACATTGAAAGCAATATATTTGGAGATCAAGTTTGGCCATTGAATATCATTAACAGCAGTTAACCAAAACAACAACATTGACTGGCTGCTCCTCAGAAGTAAAATGAGCAATGTCCTCCTGCAGGATTGACAGTCTTAGAATGCCAAAGGAGGGCCAGCTATGAGTCAGTGTTGACTTGACAGCAGTGAGCTTGAGTTGTTTGGGTTTTAAAAAAATAACCAGCTTGTCCCTTTTTCCTCATTAATATTTTCTTTCTTTAACAATAGTTTACTGTGTTTTTGGTGAAGGTTTACGCAGCAGTTCAGCTTCCCATTCAACAATTTGTACACAAGATGTTCAGAAATATTGGTTACTTTCTTTACAACACATGAATGTTCTCATTTCTGTTCTGGTTCTTCTTCTAGTTCCAATAATCTAATTTCCCTTCCCTCATATTCTCACACTTGTTTTAAAATAATTGTTGACCATTTGGTCTCACATGGATGATTTTTAAAAGGATGTTGTTGTTGTTTTTATGTGCCACCAAGTAGCGTGTTCCACAGGAACCTTTTGTACAGCAGCTCTGAACCCTTCCCTGTCCTGAGCCAGTTTCACTAATTCCAACACACCAACACCCATTGCCCCAGTTACTGTATCCATCAATCTCATCTGGGGTCTTCCTCTCCTGCCCTGTCCCTCCAACCTGCCAAGCATGATGCCCTTTTCTAAGGACCAGTCTCTCCTGGCCACATACCCAAAGTATGTGAGACAGAGCTTCAAAATCCCAGCCTCTAAGGAAAAACTTGGTTTCACCCCCTCCAAAACAGATCTATTTGTTTTCTTGGCAGTCCATGGTATGTTCAAAACTCTTCTCTAGCACCATAATAAAAAACAAAACAAAACACCAAAAACAAAAAAATAAGTGGCTTTTTTTATTTTT